GCAATATATCAAATACGTGACCGTAGCATTGTTAGAAAACGATTTTTACGGCTTAATCTATCTCCGTGGTTTGTTTACGTTTTGGCACTAAGTTAAAAATAAACAACACAAAACATGTTCCTTGTAGGTACCTTCATGAGATCACTAAAAAAGAGCATAGCATGATGGAAAAGACGCCAAACTTGACGAAAAGAAAATTTTAGCGTCTAAATGTTTATGTTATTATTAAAAGGAAAGAACAAAATTTTAAAAACTTTTTCTCTCTTTTTAGAACATTCTAAATTTTGATTAAAAAACCTTGTTTCTCTTCGTGTCCAGCGGAACTACTAAGTAACATATAAAATTTTAGCGCATTTTTTTCTGTATGACAGACTTTCATTTTGAAAATCTTGCAAAAATAAAAATAATTGTCGGATTTTAATGAAACTTTCAGAAACAATTCACAAATGATGGAACTTATTATAAATACATTTTCCTATTTTAAAGTCATGGAAATTTTTTTTTCATATGTATTACTCCCCCACCCCCAACTAATTGTAGGAAAACTATAATTTCAATTTTGTGCAGATTAGTGGTTATATTAGTTAAAAGCACAAGGTTTTGAGAAAACCAAATCATGATTTTTTTTTTTAGTTGGACCACCTCTACCTGAAAATCATCTTTGAAGTGTAACATACAAAACTCAATAAAACAAAAATATTATTTAATTTCAACAGCTTTTAATTGCTTTTATTTATTTTAATGAAAATGGATAATATTCTCTGAAAGCAAAAAGATATTTCGATGAAAAATGAATTTTTAAAACAATTATTTGTTATTTTTGAAATATTTTATTATTTTTACATTAAATGTTGTTAATTCTTCTAAAATTAGGGAAATGTTTGTAAAATTTAATGAATGTTGTTATTAAGTAGATATATATTTACAGATTATAATTTCCAAAGCTTCTTACAAACTAACGAACATCAGTATATGAAAAAATATATAATTTGTGTCAATAATACGACTGCAAATCAAATCTACGGAAGACCAGAAGTATCATGCGTGCAATAAAAAAAAAGTCAAGTGGATTGAGTTTCTGTCTAGTGTTTAACTTAAATACTGAATTTTTAATGCAATTATTTGTTATTTCTTTAGTTATAATAGATTTTTACATTTAAGTTCTTAAAATATTATAAAATTAGTTAAAAGCCGCATTCAGTTTCGTAAATGTCCTTTTGAGATTTATTTTTGTGAAACACATGTGGAGAAGTTAATTTGATTTTTCAATTTCAACTGAGAATGTTACCTACAAATATCAGTATCATCTTGTGAAATTTAAATTTGTATTTTATGTACATTTCTGATAAAATTTAATAAGAAAGGTACCTAAAATTAATTAGATACCTTTCTTATGAAATTTAATCTCACACTCAACAGTCTTATTTTAATTTCTTTATAATATATTTTCCATAAAGCATCGTAAACGTAAAGGCGAAAGCTAAGTACAAAAAAAAAAAAAATTAGAGCGCTGAAAGTTTTCCTTGAAAATAACGAGATAAATAATTTGTTCACTTAAATCTAAATAATTTCACTTCTGTCCTTCCGTAGAATAAATTATCTTCACGTAAGCTGTCAATACGTCTTAAATTGTCATTCATCACCTGTGAAGTGACGCGAAATGTTATGACCTGCTTTGTTTTAATTTCAAACTACATGTTTTCGGCGCAGAAACTAAGTAACAATTGTTTCAAAATATTTTAAATAAACATTATAATTTCTGATTTTCTTAAAATAAATTTTGAGAAAATTATAATTGATTTTTAAAAGATTTTCAAACTGAGATTTTGATTTTTTTATAAAATGAAAAAAAAAATGGTTGACATGATTGTTTATCTGTCAATGTTGATGACTAAAAACATAAGATTTTTAACGAAAATTTTGGACGTGCTGTGAACGATTAAAATTTTTTTTAAAAATAACCAAAATATACTTTGATCTTTCCTCTTAATAATAACGTAAACATTTAAACGATAGAATTTTGTTTTCGTCAAGTTTGGCGTCTTTTTCATCATGCTATGCTCTTTTTTGCGGTCTCATGAACGTACCTATAAGGCTTTCTTCATATAAAGTTGGGTCTTATGGAAGACTAGAACTCACGAACTATGAAATACAATAGCACCCCTCATATCCGGAATCCCACATATCCAGTGTACCTCATATCCGAAATCCCGCATATCCGGACATGATTTTGATGTGAATATTTGAACTATTTGGGTGATATGTAACTGATTTGAAATTTCTGTTTTTCAGGATTTTTACTTTTAATGATTGCTTATGCTTATTTTACCCTAATGGCTTGTTTCGGTGCAAAAAATGATAGGAATAAGAGGAAAAGAACAAATTTCGACTTATCACAAAAAGTAGACATTTAAACAGACTAGACGCTGGTGAAAGTTCATTGTAACTAATGGCTGAGTTTTACATAGAAAAGTCAACATTGTATGATATAAAATCTTCCAAAGAAACTATTCTCTAGCGTTCACACTGTCACAATGAACAAGGAAATAAAATACATGACTGCATGAAACTTAGACTGAAATTGAAAAAGCTATTGAAAAAGTTGTCAGTTTTATGAAAAGAAAGCCAGCATTCAGCTATGACAATTGCAATAACGCACGCAGAGTTAAAAAAGTGTCTTTCGTTTAAAAAAATTTAAAGAACAAAAGCAAAACGAAATACGGAAAAAGTTGAGAATGACAGAAGAGAAAGAATCATCATGGAGCAGCCATTAAAAAATCCTCGTTACATTATTTGTTTTGCATATGTGGCATAGTTAATTTAATGAATTTTCATTAACATTACATAATTTCTTTCTTTTTCCTTAAAATCAATTCCGTTATATTTCGCTCACATTAGCTTATTTTGTTTACTATAAAACATTGAAAATAAATGTTAAACTTGATTTCAATTCTTTTATTTTAATCTAAATATAACCCCTCATATCCGGACATTGTAACCAATTCCTCATATCCGGAAGGCCTTCTTAGTCCGATTGTCAAGGAGTCTACTGTATATCGAATATTTGACCATAGCATTGTTAAGAAAATGTTTCTTAGTGGTTGGATTGACAGACTATGAATTTAATATGTTCAATAGCAAAATACTTTGCTGTATTTCAAAACTAATTTAAATTGACTAGAAGGAGTTTTTTAATCGCTAAGAATCACTGATTTTAGCACCATTTTTAGTCATCTGTCATCTCAATGTAATTTTCCTTAATAAAATGATCTCTCAAAGATAAAATATATTTTTCCAAAACTTTATTTAAGGAATATTGGCTGAAACAATTATTACTTTTAGTGTAAAATATTGCAGGAATGTATTTTTTAACATGGGGGTAGCTGTTTGTTTAAGCTGTTGATAGGTTTTCAGCCTGACTGACAGCCCAAAGTTTATCTAATTTTTTTCTATGGGAGACATATCCGTAAAGAGTGCATGAGGAATATTACGCGACTACATTTTTACATAATTTTTAACTACCCCAAATATTAAAACTTCAGGAAATTATTCCCTGTAATCTAATGCTTTATTGAATCTTAGACATTTTGGCTTTAAATTTGCTATAATTATCGCTTTTATTTTCTGATAATGTCGTGTATGGGCGTTTGCATTTACAAAAGCCGGCATACACAAAATAAATTCAAAATTCTTCTTAAAATATTGGTGTTCGATGAATTGTAGTAAGCTTTTTCATTTATGATTAGTAAATATAGTTTTGATTTAATAACAATATCACCTAACCTGTAGAAATTAATACAAAATAATTCAAACTCTGTGAATCATTCTAAATTAAAAAAAAAAAAAATGAATACAATTATTGTAAAAATTCATTATTCATCGAATTTTTTTTTACTTAAGTCAACAGTGTCCATAATATATCTTATTCATAAAAGCAATTAAAAATTCTTTAATTAAATAAATTTTATGATCCATAGCAAATATTCGGTAATTACGTGTTCTGTTTCACAAAAAAATAAAAAAAAAATAAAAAAAAATGATGATTTAAATACCCCAAGGAGTTCTTCATATAGTTAATATAAATATTAAGCTTCATTTCCTAAGATTAAATAAGTGTGTGTGTGTGTGTGTGGGGGGCAGATGTGAAAAATGTTTTTTTCCCAAGACTTTCTAAAAACGGAACATTTCTAAAACAATTTCATTCATTTGGGAATAAGTCATGAATGTTTTATTAAAATCCGACTATTACTTGATTTTTGCAACGTTGTTCATTGAAAAAAAAAAAAGGAAAAAAAAAACCGCTAAAATTTCCTCTATTGATATTTGTTGCCCATCCTCCACGCACCGTCGATGCAAGAAAAAAAAACATGATGTCTAACCAAAATTCCGAATGTTCTCAACAGAATAAATTACTAATCAAAATAACATTGGGTCTTCCCTCTTAATAATAGTATAAATATTTTAACAATAAAACTTTGTTTTTATTTAAATTTGGAGCATCTTTTCATCATGGTATACTGATTTTTTAGCGAATATTTGGAGGTATCTATTTATAAGTAAAAGCTTTTAAGAACTATTTTAATATTATTTTCTCTAAGTTTTATTATCTTAGACAGAAAATCTGGAAATGTTTTTCATTAATCGAATTAAATCGTGATACTATTATTGATTTAATCTTACTTCGAGCTGATATCTGATGAATAAATTTATTTAACCATTGGCATTATACACATTTATGGAAGAGAATTTGTATCTACGTGTGCGTATGTGTGTGAGAGTATGCATGTGTATTGGTATGTGCGTGTGAGTATGCGTGTGCGTACATGAGTGGGTGCGTGTAATTTATATGTAGCTCATGGCCAAATCGCCCTACCTCACGAGCGTCTCTTAAGGCTTTGACCTCGCATGAACCCCTGACAAGTAAAACCCCTCGATTTTAATCGTGTGTAAACAGTGTTTGGCTGAATTGGAAAGACTTCCGGTGTCGTTCAGAAGTTGAC